CTTGTTTACATTCCACTCGTCAAAATGTGTGCCCTTTTGTGGCAAACCGGGTGTGGCCTCTTCACACTTGCCATTTACCCCGACCCCTCTCTTTCGATATGTGCCCTTTGTAGCACACTTAGTGTGGCCTCATCCCACTTACTATTTACCCCTACCCCTCTCTTTCGATGGGCCCATCCAACTCAGGCCTCCAATCCGGATCCTTTCATTGTCTCGTAGATCCGTTCCTTATCTTTCTGGTTGACCGATTTCACTCAGGTCAGTCCCTGTGTGCAATTCACTCCAGGCGCTATTTCTCAAGGCCATAGAAGCGCATACATTGCCGCTTCACTGAGCGGAGCGCTTAAGCTCTGATTCCCATGCTTGCAGACCAAGTTGCGACAACGAGGTCGACCCACTTTTAGAAATCAAACAATCTTCACTCCAGAGTAATCCTTCAGTTTCTGGTGAGACCAATTCACGAATTCTTTTCAACCAACTTTTCTTCGAAATAGTTGGACAAGTCACATCATCCCGCTTCGGGATTCTTCAAAAGACAACCTTTCCTTCAATACACGAGGACGCGGTACGCCTGTGCATGGAACCAAATCGAGCCTCTTATTTTGTTAGCCTCACGGGGTGAGGAGTCGGACTTCAACCGCACTCAACCATACAAAAAGAGCATTTGGTAGAATACATGGCATGGTTATGTAGAAAAAACTGTTCTTCCTTGCTTCCCTTTATGAACTAGCTTGTGAGTTTGGCATGAAAATAAGGGATCCTAATGACTGGATCGAGAGCCGAAATGAAAATGAGGTCTCTTTCAAAAGGCCGGGCTGAACTAGCATTTGTTAGTGAACCGAAATCGTTCAGCTAATGGTTATTTTGGTCAATTATTAGTTCCAGTTGCTAGGCCAATACCTGTGCTGTTCTAGGTAACACCGAAATAAGTGGAGATCTCCGAGTACGGTACCGTTAGAGAAGTGGAATATGTTTATAGATCCTTGCTCTTATTATTACACTTTTAGCTGAACTACATCAAGAGGTAACAACAGACGCGGCGCACGCCTGTGCATCTCGTAGATTTTTGTGTGTGTATGTTTATGTGTGCGCATGGAGAGAGAGAGAGAGAGAGAGAGGAGAGCGCGTGTGTTTGTGTAGGCAACTGGTAGATCACCCCGATCAAGTAGGCAGTGTCGAGAAGACGATCAACTCTTTGTCATATCCGCATCCTCTGAGGATGCAATAATTTATGCTCCACACAGACTTGGCCACAAATGTCCTTGTTGCCAAGCCTGCATTTCTGGCAATATGACGGCCTCCAGAGTGAAAGTGCCCACGGTTATGAGACTGCAATCGGGTCTAGCGATTAAGTGTTTGCAGCGCTAATTACGCCTCCGATGCGAATAATGATGATGACGATAATGATGACCAAGACGGGTTCTTGTAATGGACCTCAGGCATCAGCGTTAACAGGAGATGACCCCCTTGAGTCGAAACGCCGCATGTTTATGCCGTGACTGACCAGAATGACTGCACCGCCATGAATCACTTTGGCTCGACAACCGAGCTGTCGGACAATGCTAATTGTGGCCGAATGCGATTGCCTTGTTTCTGTTGGCTCATAAGCGCCATGATGCGAGGCGGTACAATGAATGGTGGCCGATGCTGAAGGGCTCAAAGGGAGGATGAAGGCACGAAGGATCTGGACGCATGGGCGGACGGAGATTACACTTTTTGTGGCCTCGCCTGTCCCAACACCCCCACGGCCTGGCAACAAACAAAGTTAAAATGATGCCGCGGTTGTGAGACTTTGCAAGTGTCAGTTCATTTGGAAGACAGACTGAACATCGCGTGGGCTCGTTAAGTCATCCTATGAATCAAGTATCTGGGCCGGTCTGTCTCGAGCTGAGGCAGAAACGTCTTGTTGCCGCTCCGAATGCTCAATACCTGATAGCCTAAGGTGTCCTGCTGAAGTATTCTCATTTTTATAAGCAGGTTTGGAGATTACTAGTAGGTCTTGACTAAGAACTGTATTCACCCTATTTCGTTCAAAGGTATGCAGCAATGAGGATTGAATTTTCCCATAAGCATCAGACAAGGACTCATGTTTCCATTGCATTTCACATAGCCTTACCTTCTAACAGTTATTCTCATCCAGGCAGTTCATACCTCTCCTCATCAGCACGCCCATTCTGACTCTAATCCGGGCCGTGGTAGCGCAGCAGCGTATAGTCTCGACCTGTCAACCACTATGCCAAGCTGTAAAAGAAGCCTATGGCTTTCCTAGATCACTTTTATGTGTAAGAAAGTAGGGTCGGATTGCCGATGAAACAAAATTGTATTTGCTGTAACAATTGACTGCATCACTTATTTTCAGTTTCTAAGTAGGTTTTCGAGACTACCACTAGATGTGATATGAGAGCTGTATTCAACCCATTTCGTTCAGCTATCAGTCCTCCATCACCTTAGACGAAATAAGGCGAATAGAGCTGTTATCCTGTTGAATAATTGTGTAACACCATGTACACACGTACTGTACAAAGTCGAAAGAAAGAACGAGATAAGAAAAAAAGGTTTAGAATATAAGAATGTTGAAAAATAATAAAAAGTAATAGAAATGCAGAAGGTTACGTTTACCACGAATAATTCGTCCCATAAAAAGATCGTAATATTAAAAAACATACTATTCAAAGCGCTCATAACATGTAACGTCATGAAATTAAACACATTCGAACCATTCTATTAAAGAAAATGAAGAAAAACTTTAAAATAGTATACGTTTTTCTACATTTGTTAACTGAATATAATAGGTAAATCGATATAATCGAAAAGTATTAAAAACTTAAGATTTAGCATTTCTCCCTTTGTCCATCTTTACTAAGGGGATGTTATATAATTTTTACATGTATACCTTTTGCATATAAAGCTGGATGGCATGGCAAGCAGAAACATGTGCTTAAAAGGGAAAGGTCTAATCATAACTGATGCTTCGGCTCCGTTGCTCTGTGAACTTGAATTGAATTTTTGCTCGCATTACATGCGTGGTGGTGTCGATGTATAACTTGTACTAAATCGGATTTCGCACTGTCCAAACTTATATTAATCACGACCTGCCTGCACGAAAGATTGACACTGCGTAACAAAAGGCCATCTTTCTGGGTAAAAGTGACCGAGTTCTTGGAAGAGATTCAAAGGTCGATCTCATCATGAACTTTCATACGGAAGTAAAGTCTCCCCAACAATATTGTCCTAAGAGCTTTATCGGAACCCAGCTTCTCTTCGTAGTTAAATAGTAACCGAACTCTTCGCCTTTCAAGGAAACAGGCGATGAGCACGTAAGCCCTGATCCCACAGCCCACTCTTGTTAGGGTTTGGCGCGATTAGCATTTGCATGCCTGAGGAATAGAGTTTTAGAGAACGGACTAGGTACAGCAGTTTACTATAGCTTTTGGCCTGAGGTTTCGACCTCGTCTCGTCATCACCTCAACATACCAAGAGGGACTCTGATTCTGGATGTGTTGCGCACAAATGCAACAAAAGTTTGATTTGGGCTAGCTAGACGAAAGGCACAGCAGATACCTCTCAATACATATATTTGAGGGGCTGTCTATGTCTATTGGAAACTTTTCATTTGTTGTTAACTTTGAAAGTGGTAGATATATACGCCTGGGTGGTATAAGAGAAAACTCTTTTCCAATTCAGGCGCATTTGGACGAACTTGTCTGGGCAATCGATGGAAGGGCTACAATGGCATAACTACATAAAGAATATCAACAATTTGCCTTTATTTTTTAGGGGTCTGCACACAATTGCCAAGAGATCACTGTTTCGGCATCTTTCACGAAACCCCATAGGACAAAATAAACTGACTGTCCGACCAAAGCTATAGATTTTTAGCTCCAACCAGGGCTCAGAGAATTGCAGACTGAACCACAATCCGTATTCAACGACGAACATTTTACATACGCTCAGTCCATAAACCAACAGCCAAAGAAAAGCAGAAAGGTGTCGATTAAAGCCGACAAAAGTATGTAATTGCCTAAGCCTAGCATACAGACCCATTAATGAAGATGGAACCAAGAGTCAGAGAGGTTTCACTTCGTTGATTAGAGACGACTTAAAGTCTGGTAAAGGCATCATAATAAAATCGGACGGCATGACAGGGTGGTTGGAGACTCATCATGCCAATAAAATGTAATAAAGGGCCCCTCTACTTTACGGAGTAGATAAGGCAACTATCATATGGAGTTTTAAACTACGTTGTAGAAGACTAGTTGAAGTCATCTTTATGCAAATGAGATTCTCAAGCGTGGGGCTCTCATAGAAGATTCGCCACAGCTCATAGTCGTCAGGTTAGCCTAGTCTGGAAAAATAAGCAACCTACTTGTCATTGGCTTAGTTAGTAAGGCAAATTCATTCGGCATTATAGGGCCAGATAAGAGTTGACACTTGACATCCATTTGATGAATTAGCAAGATCCCGATACATTTCCTAGTAAGATGTACTTCAGCATCTGGAACTCTCATTCAAGATTTAATGATAACTTCTAAGCCTAATTTATACATAAATATAACTAATGTAGTCGATTTTAATTGCAAAATACATGTTTTATACTTATAATTAGGTCTATGAGACTGCAAATCAACATTTATAATGGCTGTATTAGCCATATTTCGTTTAGTGTGACGAAAGACTGTTACATGGATTTACCCACAATGAAATGAGTGCTCCTGAGGTTACCATTACATTTAACATACCTTGGCTTCTTAAAGTATGCGAATACCTGTTGGAAAGCAAGGCTATGTAAATTCAGTGGAAATGTAAGGCCAAACCATTTTAGGCACCCATTTCACGCTTCATCTGCAGCCACTTCATATGTCATCCGTGTCCACTTAACTTAATATAAGAGGTATTCACCCTATTTCGTTTAAGGTGATGAAGGAATGGTAGTAGAATTTTCCACATTGAATTCCACATTGAATTCCACATTGCCTTGCTTCCCCTAAAGTTGTTCTCATCCAGGATGGACTGCAGTTTCGACCTCGCATTGGTATTATCAACACCCTCAGCGAGAGTCGAACCGTGACAGTGCAGAATGGGAGCTTGACACATTAACCACTCAGGCACATTGCCACGAGTACCCTTTGGTCACAGGGCTGATGTCAATTTAAAGGAAGGTCAGGTCTTTCGCCAAATCATATTCTTTGGTGGGATTTTGGATGAAGCAAATGTATATTTGCTATAACAATCGACTGCG